ATGCTGTTTTTGATAGGTTGGAATGTTTGTATAAAGACAGGTGCAAAACATGAGTTAAATAGTTCTGCTTTCTCCCTGTTGCTTGTCACCTTCTTGCCACTTTCTCCCAGCAATGGACCAATTGTTTCCTTAACTTTTTTCTTGTTTTTAACATGTTGGAAGAAGCTTTTTTTTTGTTATTTTTTACTTTTGTGGCAAAAACAGCATTGTTTGAAAATGTATGCAAATGGCAATGCATTAGACTTTAGTCCCTATTCAGTTATAGAACTCATTAGCTGGATCTGGAACTAGTCAGTGAGGATACAAATATAATGTTGACAAGTATGTAAACCATAATATGATGCACAGCAGTAATGGTAGCCTCTTATTTTAACTATTGGTTCGGTAGTGTCTGGGCATGTGCCCGTGATGACATCTGGGTGGGAGGGCGGAGCCTTGCGCCACCGCCAATAACGGTTCTCCTAAACCGGTGCAAACTGGCAGAATACCACCTCTGATGCACAGTATACGAATTAACATATTTCCTGAAGATGTATTTATTAAATATATAAGATAAAATTAAAACATTGCCTTGTTCTATAAATAATATTATATCATAAATTATATATTACAGCATACACCCTTTTTTATAAACACTTACTGTATTAGCTGGGTGATCTGTTGCCAAACCAAAGTCACCAATTTTCACATGATCTTCTGAATCTAAAAAAATGTTGACAGGTTTCAGATCTCGGTGAATCATTCCCTTTAATAAAATCAAATAAAGTTTGATATGAAACAGTGTGCATATGAATCACACTTCAAACAGAATATAAGATTGGACCCTCAAGCATGAGTCAGCTCAGCCTTTAAGAGTAGTGGGGCAAACTTTGTTTACATTTCTATATTGGATGATGATTATCAGAAGTCATGATCAAGATGATAAGATGATGATGATTATATGGCCACAGCCTTTGAAAACTGCCTAGAATATTATAGCATATGTTATAAATACTTTTATTATTGTTAATGCTACTTGTGAGCCTTCTTGGTTAGGATTTGTATTCTAAAAACCGGATATATTACCAAATATAGCACTAATACTACTGAAAGCCAGTTTGTTGTGGTTAAGGCATCAAGTTAGAAACTGAGAGACTGTGAGTTGTAGTCAGGTCTTAAATACAAAGCCAGCTGGGTGAACTTGGCAAGTCACTCTCTCTAAGCCTTAAGAAGCAATCTTAAGAAAACTGCAGCATCTAGTCTAGGTAGTCACCAGGAGTCAAAAACTGATTTAAAGATACCTCCTCCTAAAACCATCTAATATAACCATAACTGTTTATAATTTCATTATTAACAGCAGCACACAAAGTGATTTCAAAGATATATGTGCGCAACTTTGATTCAATATTATTACAATAGAAGTAATATTGCAAACCAGCCAGAGATAACTAAATACCCAGAAAATGTTAGAACATGGGGAACATGGATAAAGAAAAAATATATCGTAATGGTATTAATAGCAAATCAATAATATCCCAAACTTAGGATATGAACAATAACCTATCTAGCCTGGAGGTTTTGGAGAGGTCAAGTGTGCACGCAGAATTGGCACTGAAGCTTTATGCTGCAAAATAACACTTGCTTGAAATGGTGTGTATCTTCCTAGAATCACTTATTTTCCAAGGGGATGGGAAAGGAGAGGAAAATCAGTTAAAACCTGTCCCATTCTATTATATTGTCCATAGCTTCACTAGCTCAGCCAGTAGCATGCCCAGAATATTAAATAAACAAATCTAAAAAAAAAGAATTAAGAAAAGGTTTTACAATATCCCATAAAATCTAATATTACGTGGTTAAGAAAATTCAAAATAAAGCTACATATAGCAAAATGTGCCAAGTTTTGTTGGTACAACCAGGAAAGACACCAGATTTGCAAAGTAGGATTTAACAGGTTACCTATCTCTGACTAAGGAGACACATCAGGTGGTTAGTCAGATGGTTATCTTGCTGGCAAAAGCAAACATATATTGTTTTGGATTGTTGAAATAGATAAGGAGTTTTGCTTAGGCTTAAAGATGTGGCTTCTGAGTCAGATATACTGGGAAGCACAAATGAAAACTGGATAGCAATGTAATAATTGAAACTTCCCCTGCCTTTATCAAGGCCAGAATAATTTTTTGGTAAATAATTAACTAAAACCCAATAAAGTACAAGATATGTGCATGGGCTTGACATGACCATCACTGACCTTTTCATGGATATAAGCTAAACCATCCAATATTTCCCGGAAAAGTCTCCAAAGACGATTGGTATCTTGGTATAAACCTTGATCAATGGTATCTCGTAATGTGCTCTTTTCACAATATTCCATCTTTAAATGCAAAAGGGGGGAAAAAATTGAAAGCATTTGGGAAGATCATCACATGTATAACTGTTACTATTCTACAACCCAGATTTGGGGTGATTAATCATTCAAATACTAGAGGCTTCTCCTTTAAAAGAAATTTATTTAAAGATATGTATTCTGACTGGCTAAATTTAATCCTTTTTTTTTTAGGGCAGACAACGGAAGGAGACAAAGAAGGAAAACTATAGGTTTGTTTGCTTGAATTTCATTTGCTTAGCTGCCTGACTGGAAAAAAATAAGCCCTTTAAAAAACCCAATGTCTTTTCACCTTGTTATGCTAAGAAGAAAGAAGTTTATGTGATTCATAAGAATGCTTCTGCATACTTATATTGTTTGATCAATTCTAAGGGTGTATAACACTTAGTCATGGTAGCCATTACCGTTTTCAAAGGTACAATGTATTTGATTAACCCAGACACATCAATTTTGAATATTTCCTGCAACGGAATGAAGCAAATATTATACAAAGTGGTTTGTTTTAAAGATCAGCCAAAGCTTTTAACACCTGTTCTGCATGTGGATTATTTCTCATATCAGATGCAACAGGTAGAATGTTCTTTTCCCGCAGCAGGGGGCAGTATCTGGTTGACCTTAAGAAGCTAATGGAATTAATACATGGAGGGGAGACAATCAGGAAATCACAAAACTTTAACCTAGAGTTGAAAATCCTACAGTAATAAGGTCCAAACTGAGCAATCAAAACACATCCCAGCACAACTCATGTCCATATTGAAAACAATATGCATGTTTCCATGTAGTTATTAAGAGCTGGGCTTGAGTTGAGAGATTTTGTTATTTTAAGCATGCTCTGAAATCATAAATTGTTTGCTTCTAAAACTTGTAAGGCTGAAAAAAACTACTTCTCACTGATTTCTTAGATGGCTTCTGATGATACTGGATACTGACTATAACGTTACTTCTATCTCAGAAACAGAAAATGTTCATTTTATTCTGAATATATTTATTCTGGCTGTACCAAATGATAATTTCCAACCTGAATATAAAGATGGTGCACAGTCTGAATCACTGATGTTTTGTTTTCTTCACTAGAACTATCTTTTTCCTTGTAGTCTTCATCCTAGATCACAAAAATACAGAAGTACAATATAAGCAAACTTAATTCTTCACTACATATATTTAATCAGTCCATAAATCCACAGATAACATTTCTTTCATTTAAAAACATCATTCTTAAGTGCTGAAATGCCAAATAAACCTGTTTTATTTATATTCTACTATCCAACATCACATGATGCTGGGTACAAATATTCTTATCAATAAAGCAAATAGCAACATTACTGTGGCTTTTAACTGTAAGCAGAATCATATCACAATACATGCTGTAGAGCTTTTGATTATCAGATTATGAATCCACATATTTGAAAGAGGATGCTTAAAGATGTATTTTCAATAGAATATTTACCATCATCTGATTTCTACTATTGCCTTCTTCATGATCAAAAATGATATCACTTTCAGAATCTGCTGCTGGCCTAAATCAAGAAACAAGAACTTTTAAATATCGAAATCTTTGCAGAAGGTGCTTTTTTAATTTTTCCCTCACATGTTCCACAGAGGTATGTTTAATGGTAATTCATCAAGTTCAAAAATTACTCTATTGCTGTGATACTTAATTCTAGTTTCATTTATTAATTTAATTATGAGTTTTTATAGTTTTAATTATCCAGCACACTAGAATAGATCTGACCTATTTAATTAAATGCCATGTATAATCATATTAAAATAAAAGATGACAATAAAGACTACAGCATCTCACAGGCAAAAATCCTAAAAGGTGGTTTATCTTCCACTTCCGATTTGTCCGTAGGGCCTATTTTCGTCTTCTGGAGCCTTCAGGGAAGCATCCTGAAAGTCTCTGAAGGCTCCGGAGGATTAAAATGTACAAATCAGAAGTGACTTCCGCTTTGCTCGTAGGGTTGTTTTTCGCCCACCAGAGCCTTCAGGGAAGCCTCCTGAAGGTCCCTGAAGGCTCTGGAGGACTAAAACCGGCCCTGCGAGCAAACCGGAAGTCCGTTCCCGAACTTCCAGCTTGCCTGTAGGGTCGGTTTTTTGTGCTCCAGAGGCTTCAGAGAAGCCTCTGGAGGCCTCCGGGAGGGCGGGGGAGGCTGTTTTCTCCCTCCCCAGGCTCCTATAAAGCCTCTGGAGCTTGGGGTGGGCAAAAAAGGCATGCAAAAAATGGGGGTGAGTGCTAGTCATGCGCTCATGCGGGCTGGGGGTCGTGCCAAGGTGGCGCAGTGGTTAAATGCAGCACTGCAGGCTACTGCTAGATCAGCAGGTCAGCGGTTCAAATCTCACCGGCTCAAGGTTGACTCAGCCTT